TTTTGAAGTTAGGTTTATTCTTACATATTTAAAACATCTTTACAGGCTTCCAACAGATAATTTGAAGTTTTTTGCAGTTTCAATCTATCAACTTTAAAAAACCAGTAGTACATGAGTTTGAAATGGTATCAATACATTTAATAGAGCAAAAACATCGAAAAATTTTGAATTATAATAACGGCAGAACCAAATGGCAGCACTATGCGAGGTGAAGGGGAAAGACTGCCCATGAGGAGATATGAACGGAAAATATGGGCAGAATCAAGTGAGGAATGCCGAAGCAAAATTGGGCAAATCAATCAAGGAAATCAATTCGAACAGATGTGCTGTTTGATTATTAGAGGTATACTGGAGTAGCAAGACCGATATTTTTAATTTAATCTACACCTCAATCAGCCACTGCTTCCTCAAATTTGAGCAATCACTCAGGGATCTCTGAATTATTGCCCGAACTTGGAGCTTCAAAGATCTGAGTCCAAAATTAATAGAGAACAGGATGAAGATAATTGAAAACTTTAAACAAATTGAAGCTATTCAATCAGAATGGCTCTATTTTCTACTTCTAACCACAATAGGTATCTAGTATTTTCCTTTATCGCTTATATTTTTATACTTATTCGAACGAAAATTTGTCTGCTTTTCAATGGAATGAAACTTATAAATGATTGGTTAGACATATTTTGGGACCCTCTCTGAAAACTGAAAAGAACTAAGGTTCATTGGACTAACATGCCTTTATTAGACAAAAGGTTTAAACTTTATTCTTTGTGCCAATTGACTTGCCAAGTGAAGATTACTAATCATTAGTTTGTCAGTTCTTTACTTATTATCTACTTTAAACTAACAGCTAAGAGCTTCATAGTTTGGTTCATCAAAATGTTCAGCAGTAAAATGCAGATGACAAACAACTAAGAGATAGAAATGGACAGAATCTCGGAATAGATATAAATTTAAATTCCCTATCTCCTACTCAAATTTCAATTAGTAGCATAGATAATACTTAAAATATGAAATCGTGGAGAGGCCATTGAATGCATTCTTAATAAGGTTGAACACGTGCACGTCAGTAATTGGGTCTGTTCTACAGCAAAATTGAAGCTCGTGATTCATGAATTAACAGTCACATTTGCTGTAATTTAGCATCCACGTTATAATTAAATTAATTACTCATGCTGCAAAGTTGAGGTTCCGCTCAACTCTCATAGATAATAAAAAATTATTGCCAAAAAAACACAATGGTTGGGAACGGGGCGATAGGAGATATACACAAGGCATATAATTCCGCCTGTTTAGCACTGAAAAACATATATTTTTATATCAAATTGCAAGCTTTATGATAGTTATCGTTAGTCCTTTAGTTGACTTCGGGCTTCACAGAGAGGAGGAACATTAATGTTACTAAAAGTGGATAGAGGGAACAGAAGAGTGATTCATAGATGTAAGAGAGAGAGAGAGAGAGAGAGAGAGAGAGANAGAGAGAGAGAGAGAGAGAGAGAGAGAGAGAGGGAAAGAAAGGTAGAGAATAAGGTAGGGTGTGGTGAATGCTGAGGAAGTGGTCAAAAAAGGCATAGAGTGGGGTCATGGTAGTTTGAAGTCCGAAGTCAACTGCATTTTTTGCCGTATGAGTATACGGTGCCCAGGGTGCATCCTGCCTTAAAAAAGTGAAACCTTTATAGCTTAAGAAAGAGAATGGCACTTGGATACACAGTCCTAACATGAAATAAATATCTCAAGTTTACAAGAACACCAATCACAAATAAAATGTATGCGAGAAATAGAATTTGTCATCACAGCTAGCGCATTTTGAATGTGAAGACACTGGCCAACAGACCATTGTTGAAAGGTAGACACTTCACAAACTTAAAAATCATTATGAAAGGAGGTTAAAATGTAACCAGCCCGCAGTTAGGCATTGATATTCAACCTATCACCTAAATTCTCTGTCAGCGGAAGGATTGCTTATTTTCGTTTTGAATCACTCCATGATTAAAAATCGAGCAATTTTGACCTAGCATGTCAAAATATGATCTTTTTAAGGTTATGTGAGAGCATGATTCTTTCTCGATCAATGAAATAACCTGATTTGAAGTAATGGACAGGCCCATCCTAATTAACCGATTCAACTCAATGATTATCGATTATCGTTTTTAAGAATATGTTCGCGATCGTAAGATTACAATTAGGAAAGTTGAGAGTTTGATTAAACACCACTTTATTTCGATTTCACAAATCAAGTGAGTTGAGACTCCTTGGTACCTCTAATTTTTGTTCTCCAAATCCATCAAAACTCAATTTTCTTTATTACTAGGGAGAAAAGAAGTAATTTGCTCTGAAATGGCAATACCGAATTACAAAGTTTCCATTTTTTCACCCACCAGCTTCAAATCTATTAATATTTAGGCACCAAATTATCGATTAAATTATCTACGTGGTTAAGTTAGATTTTATTTAATGTAATGCGGACCAATCACCTTAAATTACGTAAGTTATCTCAATCCCTAATATCATTGAAAGTGTGTTAAATGTACGCAATGAGAGTAGGATTGGGAAAGTTAATCTCTGTAAAATTGTTCATTATTTGTTATTAAAAACTGTCAAATCGAAATCCTCTAGACAGTGGTTCAAACTAGTCTGGTGAATGAATGCCATGCCACCTAAGGTTTAACATTACTCATTAACGCATAAAAGAAATCTAAACAACCGAATGGAGCAGACGATTGGTGTTAAAGGTGACTTGATTTCGAATTTACCTCAAAAAATCTTGAAACTAATAAGATGCCCATAAACAAAGCTCTAGGCTACTAGGTTTATGCCTGTTTCTCGGTGTGAGTAGAACTGGCAAATACCACTTGTCATTTCGCACCACAAAATGAATGATCAGACCAGGGCGCAGAAGGTGATATGTTGAAAAAATAGAGAAGTTTAAGTACAAACCTTCATTTGCATGCATCAAATGCAATCAAGGCGTGAAAATGTTGTGCTAATTCACATTGGAAGCATCAATGGCGAAAAGAAGGATGAATTTGAATCTGTCTCTCGCCAATGTGGCATGCTGTCTGTTTGCACATCGAGGTATGTGTGTGTGTGTGTTGTGTGGGGTGGGGGG